CAATTGTGCCAACACAAGATGTGCCCGATATGGAAATGGCAAGACATACCATGCAACAAAATGTTCTGTTGGAGGAGCCCGAGGCATCCTAATCAACTGTGCTAACACAAGATGTGCCCGATATGGAAGTGGCAGGACAAGCCATGCGACAATTCAACGAATATACTACAAACATGCGCAGCTGACACCCGTCGGTTGACACGGATCCACGTCAACCCGAATCCTCGTCAAGCGTTTTTTAGACGAATCCTCGTCAACTCGAATCAGCGCTGAAAAAACGAATCCTCGCCATCGAATCCTCGCCGGAAGGACTGGGTACAAGTTCGCCCCTCCTTGGCGATCTCTCCCGTTGGCGCTCTTCCTGGAGTTCGGGTGCGGCTTGCGCGTTCTGAGTGACTTTGCATACGAGGCCCCGGGCAAGCCGCTTCTGTTCTCCTTTGTGGGTGAGGCCGGGGCGCTCTGTCTTCAGTCGTCTGATGGTCAGCTCTCATTCCCCGTGAAAATGGCTTGGGACACCTTTGGGCGCAGGCGCCATTCTCCCTTCCACGGGTGCACTTTTCTTCAACCTCAAGACTCTCACCCACCGTCGCATCCTTCTGCGTGGCGAGGCACCGGGCACCTGCCCGATCCCGCTCCCCAAGGACTGGCTGCCTTCTGTCCCCCCACGGACTGCTGCGCCCCCCCCCCCCGGCCACTCCTGCACGAGGTTTTGCCAGCAGCAACCGCGCCGCGCCGCCTCGACCTGTGCACCACGCTTGTCCCTTGGGCGCTCCTGGTGGGCCCCAATCGACGCCGCCTGATGGAGCGGCCTCTGCGCAGTCTTACAAGCCTCCACGACTCACCTGCAGTACGCTCACTGGCTTGTCGGCCGAGAACTTGTACATGCGCTAGACTGAGGCCGCTGCGTCTCATAAACGATATCCACATGAATTTCACCCATCTTGCTCCTAGAAGGCGACCAGCCGCTCGGAGAGACAGGGAAGCGGCCCGCATGAAAGGACCCGACTGGAGATGCGGCGCGTGTTGGCCTGAGACACGCCAACCATCCCTTGAGGGAGAGGGCCACGGGTGACCACCTTAGCGTCACTGGCTCGGGCCGCGCCTGGGCATCTGCCATTGCGAGACCTGGGCATCAGCCGGGGCAGTGGGCGGCGCTTGAGGCGCCGTGCGAATCGTTCGTCATTTGTGGGTATAGACGAAAGACTAATCGAACCATCTAGAATCTAGTAGCTGGTTCCCTCCGAAGTTTCACTCAGGACCGAGATGGAGAGGATCTACAACCGCCAAGTTGGTACTGGGCCCCAAGTCCGGGCCAACATCTTGGCTGAAGTGGTTGCTCGCGAAGCAAATGGGGAGGATCGCCTTGAATTGGGGGTCATCGGGATAAGGATGAAGAACGGACCTTTGTCCGCTGCCCTGGCGCTACTGGCTCACGTGATCTCTCGCGCATCTATCGCCCGGTTTATGACCTGCGTTCAGTTGGTGATCCGAAGTGGTGGAGGCCGCCTCCCCTGCAAGATGGCGCGCCCATTCGTCTGACCACGCTTCCCACGGACAGCCCTGAGTTCCGCAAGCTTCTCCACCGGGACTCGGACCCTGTTATAAAGATCTCCCTTACGATCGCCCGCCAGCAGGGCGCAACGCTGTACTCCAATAGCCGGCATAAACTGGTCACGCCCGGAGTGCGCTTAGGCGGCCATCGCACAGGTGTGGCATTTTCTGCGCCCCGAAGCTCCCCTGTCCCTTTCTTGGTCCGAGTTAGGGCAGGGGAGGGCTGCCGTCTTGCACCCTGTGCTTTCTGTCTTCCGTCTGCATATATCTTCCTGCGAAACCACATGCTGGAATGTGCATAAAAAGATCCAGCGAAGAACCCAGCGGAATCCATAAGTGCTGTAACCTTCGACACTGACATTTGCGACTCTGTCTCCTACGGTGGCAGGACTGTGGTTTCTTCGACAGTGACATTGGCGACTCGGTCTCCTATGGTGCCGGACCTGGTGTTGCAAAGGGTGGTACGGCTCCTAACATCGATTTTTTCTTTGCTTTTGCTGGCGCAGGAAATCCTTGCGAATGGACATTCGCGACTCTCTCTCGACCTCCGTACTTCAGGGATGAGGGCAAAGGTAAGGTGGCCCAGCACCGTGATCTCCTGGCCAATCTTCCACTCACTTACCCTGACCGCAACTCACCTTGTGAATCTTGCGAAGGCTGTCTCCGTGGCCCAGCTTGCCTTTGACAAGTTGACGCGCTCCGCAGAACTGTCCGGAGCGCCTCCCCCCCCCACACCCACACCCACACCCACACCCACCCCCACCACCCCCCACCCACCCACCCACCCACCCCCCACCCACCCACCCACCCACCCACCCACCCACCCACCCACCCACCCACCCACCCACCCACCCACCCACCCACCCACCCACCCACCCACCCACCCACCCACCCACCCACCCACCACCCACCCACCCACCCACCCACCCACCCACCCACACCCACCCACCCACCCACCCACCCACCCACCCACCCACCCACCCACCCACCCACCCACCCACCCACCCACCCACCCACCCACCCACCCACCCACCCACCCACCCACCCACCCACCCACACACCCACACCCACACCCACCCACCCATGCCAGGAGGAGACGTAACAATGAAGGCTATTTCGTTGCATTCAGGTGCCATAACATTCCATTCGGGTGTCATGGGCCTAGCAGCGATAGAACTGCTGCCACTTCAGCGTCAAGGGGGGGGGGTGGTCTATGGCAGAGAAGAGGCTTGCGCCCAACATTTGCATTTAGTCAAGTTCTTGGAGTTATTGTACTCCCTGACAGTCTGTTGCAGCTTCAAATTCAGAAGATGTGACAAGTCAATGTCTGCCCTCGGCCGGTTCATCGGGCATTGAAACGCGGACTATGTTGCAGCGCATCACCGACTTGCTAGTTGTATGAATCGCCCTATACTTTCTGAAAACCTGAGACTGCTGGGGGTGAGGGTTTGGCAGGACCGTCGTCCTCAGGGCAGCCCCCAAACAACTTGTGGAAGGTCGCAAAGTTAATGGGTGCTGCGGTTAGTTTCTGGGGGAATTTCCTTTTTGCTGGTGGAATTTCTTACTTGGTAGCCAGGGGTTGGGGAAGTACAGGGGTATATTCCTTTGAGGAAGCCGGGGGTTGGGGGTGGTGGTTTTGCGAAACAGTCGCCCTTACGGGATCGCGGTTTGAGGGAAGCCGAGGGTGACCCATATATTAGGTAATCGTGGCTTTTTCACCAAAATGTTAGTGGTTGTGTTTTTTGACGCTTTCAAAGGGACGTGGTGGTTTTGCGAAACCGTCGTCCCCGGCCCCCCCACCAAAACCGTCGTCCCCGGCCCCCCACCAAAACCATCGCCCCCGCACCCCCTCATCCTCTCACCCTGATACTCGTTCCCCTGTTTAATCCTCGAAGCGTGACACATGATGCTCCCTATAGCCAGTTGGTGTAACACCTGATTGTATTGATGTAACCCCCGAATACAACGAAATTGACTTAATGACAGATACTGTGGAACAGCGACCAGACAACATATAAACACTGCCAATATTCAATTACCCCATCCCGACAGCACGTCTATTCAGTTTTTCTTTCACAGATCTGTCTATTCAGATTTTTTTCTCACCCATATTGAGTTTTTCAACCACAGATATGTCTTTTTTGAGGTTTTCCAAATCGCCTTCCTTTCTGTTCAAACGGCCGTTTGATTCACTTGATTCAAAATCCACAGATCCAGCGCCCAAATCGCGTTTTCCTAGTCAATCGGCCGTTTGATTCAAAATCCACAGATCCTGCGCCCAAATCGCGTTTTTGTAGTGCATCGGCCGTTTGACTCAAAATCCACAAATCCAGCGCCCAAATCGGCTTTTCCTAGCCAAACGGCCGTTTGACTCAATATCCACAGATCCAGCACCCATTTTTTTCTAGGCAAGCGGCCGTTTGACTCAAAATCCGCAAATCCAGCGCCCAAATCGGCTTTTCTACTCAAACAGCCGTTTGACTCAAAATCCACAGATCCAGCGCCCTCGACGGCGCGGCGCGAGAATGTCGACCTTGCGCGGCATCATTTGAGGGAGAACTGGCGTGCTTTCCAAGCTTGGGTGGCCTTGCCACTGTGTGCTCCCAAGTTGCTTTAGGTTTTTTGTGCTGGCGGCGCGTACTGCGTCTCAGGTTGATGCATGCCGGCTGCCCGTGGCGTCATGACGCAAGGTAGCGTTGCTTGTTTGTCTGGTTTTGCCTGTGGCGCGATTCAGAAACTGCCTCTGAATGCGTTGTGGGAGTGCCCTGGTCTTCGGGCCTTTGCCCCCTGGAAGACCGCCAAGGCCGGTGTGTCCCTTGCAGGCTTTTCGTGCTAATCGGGCGCTCGATTGGATTGCGTTTGTCCGCCAGCAAACGTTCCAGCGCAGGTACCCCACTTCGTTTGTTTGGGAATGCATGGTTGTTCTGGCCAGCGTGCCAATGTCCACGATGTGACACCTTGTGCCTTGGCCTAAGCTTGACTCGGTGTCCTCCTTTCGTTCTTGAGGCTCGTGTTTGTAGTGCCCTGTCCACTACCTGTGCTGCAGAGTTTGCTGCTGGCTAAAGCAGTGCTGGATAGCATGTTACTTGCTCACGTAGGCACTTACTGTGTTGTGTGCGCGTCGTGGTCCCAAATGCTCTCTGTTGTTTTCCTGTTGCTCCGCTACCGTGCAAGATTCAGTGGGGTTTCCACTTCTGATCTGGCAGTTCAGCGACTTGGGAGTATGCGGATGGACCACGTATTTGAACAAGAGAACGGGAGAGCTGGACCAGGACAGGAACAGAGGCAGCACAGACAGACATGCGTACATGCGTGTATGAAGCATGTACATGCATACATGCATGCACATGGTTGGCTCTTTTGTTTGGACGTTGCGCGCCTTGATTCGAGCCAAGTCGGCAGCAGCAGGGCACCAGCGATTGTTTTGACTGTGCGAGCTGCGCGGCCAGATTGCGCTTGCAACTACTGCTGGCAGCATCATGCTCTGGGACTACAAGGCTCAGCGCATCTCCCTGCATGTCATGTTGTAATCATGGCAAGAGTGCAGTGTCTTGTGTACGTATCATTGGTCTGCATTCTTGGATGGCCTTGCACAGCGCATGCGTCGTAAGATGAGCGTGATGCCCTGGCATCCAACAAGCTGTCTCAACAGATAACAGATGGCACTGGAGGCATTTCCCTTCATTGGTGGTTTATTCATTCCAGCATTGCTTAGGTAGGGCGTTGTGGGTGCCTGCAAGATCGACCGTGTAGCCAGCAAGTTTGCTTGCCAGGCAAACAAGGCAAACAAGCTCTTCAGCGTACCGGAAAAGAGCGCAAAGGCTGGATGGCAAGCCAGCGTTTTTGGCTGGGTACATTGATGCAGACCAATGGCAGGGAAGACCTGTTTGGCAGCAACTCACGTATGCAACTGGCAAAGCGTAGCGCATGCCTGGACAAGTACAACAAATACTTACCACGAGGACCCGCATGAGAACATGCACATGTTTTTGTCTGCGTGTCAGCGAACAAGACATCTGCAAAGGCACATGTAATTCGCAGTTGTTTAATGGAGAAAACTGCGAGCCAAGCGAAGACGTGTCTCCCATGCCTGCGAGGTGCTCAGATGGCACCCGCGGAACGCGCAGAAGCTTTTGCCCGGGATCCTTAGCACCCGCTCAGGTTCATCGAATCCACGGGATGTTTGATTTCGTTCCTATACTGCATGGCTCGCAGATATTCCAGGGCAACGCATGCGTACTGCAATCTTGAGGCGTACTGCAATCTTGCAGGTTTTCTGGCGCCATTCTGTGAATGCTTTCAGAATCTTTAAGCTTCTCAGAGCAGGTGTGGTTGTTGTAGGCCCAAAGGCCTTGGCAGGCCACAAGTCTGACTTGCCAGCAGATGAGCTGAGACGGGTTGCATTGGTTGCGTGCTCATTCGGCCCGAAGTTGTTGCTGGGAAGGTGTGGCACGGACGACGGCTCCGTGACAGTGTGACCTGGCTTCTGTGGAATGAAGGATCAAGCCACCCAATAGGTTGTTGCACGAATGCATTGGCTGCTAGGCAGACGGGCCTTTCTAGATTGGACCGGCTTCATCGCTGAAACTTTGTGGCAGGTACAACACGCAGCAGCAGAAAAAGGTGCTGATCGTGGGGAAGGCCAAATGTATCCAAGCTCTTTCAATCCGTGAATGTGCGTGCAAACGTCATGCGACATGTTTTGTAGACTGGGCGGGGGTCGCGGTGTTCTGCTTCAGTGGTTGCACGGAGTGATTTTGTGGGGTGCGGGGGCTGCTGGGGCACGATTACCTCGGTGCTGAGATGCTTCGTGCTGACAGGCGCGAGGGATCGCGCATTTTCACTTTTCTGCTGGACGTGGAAACATCACCCAAAGCGTCTTGGGGATTGATACGGTCAGTAGTGTGGTCCGTGAGTTCTTTTGAATGCCTGAACCAACGGCAACATTGAAATCAGAACAGCAGCATCTCAACAAACTGTCAACCAAACATTAAACAAATCACAGCAACACCAAACCACAACAAAACACGTAAAACACGGCGACATGTGGCAATTTGCAGCCATTGGTTCAGGCATTCAAAGAATACATTTGACATGGACCACACTACTGACCGTATCAATCCCCAAGATGGTTTCAAAGGCACGTCTTGATGGTTGATTGTCGACCTCCAGCAGAAATGTGAAATTCCGCCATCGCTTGCGCCTGTCAGCCGAGCATACTCCAACTGTTGCTTGTCACCTCAGTGGAAGCTAGACTGTGCTGTTGTTACCCACGTAATGCAATGTCGTCCTTTCGCAGTCCCTCCGATTGATATTGCGGGTCTGGGCAAAACCCTCCGACCGTCCATCCAACATGTTGGTGGAGACTGCAGAGCCTCACTGTGTGGCTCGTGAACACAACCTGAACGTGTTCTTCATGGGCATTATTGGGCAGAGGGCAATTGCAAAAGGTCCATGTTATGTCTAGCCAGTCGAAGACATCGAAAGACGCTGTGACTGATGCGCAGCCGGCAACCTAGTCCTTGCATGAATTGGTCGATTGTTGCCTGAGCAATGTATGATACTTGCATCTGTGCGGACCCCAAACATGAGGATCCGTTGGTGACTATGACTCAAATGCATGTCATTGCGCACGGTCCTTGAGGTGGGATCCGCTGTCAGATGACTACCTTCTGATCTCGTTTGCGGACAGCTGTGTGATTGTCGTGCAGAAAGATCCTGCTGTGTTGGCCGGTCATGAATGGAGACCGCAAAAGCATTTGTGGATAACGCTGCCAGCAAGCGAGCGCATGGCAGTTGAGTTTTGAACTCAGGAGTCAAAACCATGAAAGCTGCCAGCACACCCACGCTGCATGCTGATTTCGTGTCACTTGATCCAAGTGCGTTGGCAAGACTTCAGGTCGGGCAGTTGGGCGCTGCTTCGTGTTTTTTGCTTGCGCCAGGACGGTTCGCTCACCCTGTTTGACGCCAGCAAGCTAACGGAGGCACGCCGACCGTGAAGCGGGACCGTTCGCGACACCTTTCAGGCTGGTCTCTTTCAGCTGTGCTTGGGTACAGTGGCTCGGGCTCCGGCTGCACTCTAGGCATAGGCGCGGGCTCGCGTTTTGGCCCTTTCAGACTGGACTTTTTCATTGTTGCCCCAATCGACATAAGTGGCGAGGTTGGGAGGCTTGGGGTGCTTTGCCTGTGAGGTGCACAGCTTTGACAAGCAGGCGCAAGCCATAAGGAGCATTGCCTGGGCCAGGCGCCCATTCGGATCGACACAGAAAGTTGGGGCGATCTTTGCATCTTCATGTCGGACATGTCGGACATGTCGCATCTCGATTCCGAGGCCAAAGCTCAGCCCGGCAACTTTGTCTCTGCCACCGACCGCGTCGGGGCGCGCCGCGGCTTTGCTTCGTTGCTTGCAGTGGTATTTGTTTCAGAGCGCAGCTTGTGGGTGTACCTGCTGTCACTTGCCAAATCTACCAGTTTCGTAGAAGCACCGCATACCACGCACTTGAATAGTGCATGTTTGTTTGTTTCAGGTTCATTTTGGAACTGTGCGACGCTCTGGGGGTACTACTTGTATGTTGGACTGCCAGAGGGTTGGTTCAAGTTTTAGCTATTGGTGGGTGCCGCAGATCTTGAAGCTTTGGAACGTTTCACAGCGGGCGCCGATGGGCCAGATCAAGGCAGGACTTTCGCGCTGCGCCACAAGGGTTTTCATTCTTTGCTGAACATTGAATCCCTGTGATGAATTCGCCTGCTCTTGCTCCAGCACTCTGTTTCTTCTTTTTGTTGGTTACATTCTTGAAGCTTTCAAGAATTCGACTGGGTCCCAAATACTACGAATACAAGCCTGCGATTTTTGGAGGGTGGTGTGCCAACACCCGTATTGAATGTCGAGAGCCCAAAAGAAAGACGTGCGCTGCACGACATGCTCAAAAGACGTGGAAGACAGAGGCCCTGCCATCGTCATGGAGACATGGGATTGCCACATCAATCAGTTTCGCTTCCTGAAAGGGTTCTCAAAAAGGCTCCGTAAGCGGCAGTGGGATTTCAGTTGAAACAAACGCAGGCAGAGAATCTGCTCTCTCACAAGCCCAATTTGCAGACTCTGAGATGATCAGTCCACGCAGGCGGCCTTTTTCATGTACATTCACTCAGGTGGGCACCAGCGGTGTGCTTTGCGTCAAGGCTCGCTTTGCCAGCGCTTCACTGCAGCTACGCTGCTTTCTTTGCATGGTGTTGCCGTACTGCTCAGCAAGAAATTGCAAGCACAGAATACCTTGCATCAGGGCAGTTCTTTCCTGGTCTTTGGAGCAGGCTGTGCCGAGTGAGCCGAACTGGTTCATTCTCTCGCTTGCAGCTCAGTCCATGACCTTGACTCCTCACTTTGGGCTTCAGCAGCGGTATGAAATGTTCGTGGTCTCAACTGCCCTTCATGCACAATCTTCCTGGTTTGACAGATGCACTGGCACAGCAACTCAAGCGCATAGGACCGTGCTCTATGTCACATGTCGAGGTTTAAGAATAGCGCTGTGGGCGTGTGCGACATCGCTTCCCGCACTATGCGTTTGACCCTCAGCATGCGCTGCTTTAGGCTTTTGGGTCATGTTGTTCTTCAAGGCGCTGGTAGGTAGCCTTAAATTTTAGCTGTCAACCAGCACCTGGACACATGACCCATCTGGATGTTTCAGCTGGCTTTCAGTCTTCTCACCACAGCGACCACGTTGATGAATACGCTGAACATGGAATCTGTCAGTTTTACTCAGGCTTTATGACATCACCAGGCCATTCCGCCTGCGGCCTACCGTACAACAAGCTTACATGGCAAGTTCTGCAGCATTTTTTTCGACTAGTTGTTTGTAATTCAATTGATGGATACGTATTGCAATTGGATGCCGACTCATTTTGCCGAGGAGACGATCTTCGACGTGGCCTTCCACCCAAAGGACCTGTTCTATTGATGTGTTAGCTTACTGGTGAGTCCAGTGTTTGCTTTTGCTCAATAAGAATTGCCCTTGTCTTATGCAACTAGCTGCCATCCATCGCGCCATGCTGCTAGTGTAGCACCAAAGGCCTCTTGGACCCAAGGGTGCAGGTTGCCACTCCGATTTGTTTAATGGGTTTTGTGGGATGGTGCTTTGAGGGGTGGTGACGGCTTGTGACTTTGCTTCGATGTCACAGCTTGATGTGTTATTGGTTATTTCAGCTTCAGCGAAGGTTATTATCAGCTTATCATTGAATCAGTGCCATTCTGGCCAGGATAACCTTGCTTTGAAAAAGGCCGCCGCGCCCAAGCTCGGCTCAAGCGGGTGGGCACTGGAACCGCGCCTTGCTTGTTTTGGTCCAAAGCGAGCAGCACTCAGCACCCTCAGATCCTGTTGCCGAGTTTGGCAGGGTCGTCCGAAGTCAATGTGCAATTGATTTACTTGCTGTTGTTTTGAATGGTTTTGCAACGTGTATTCTCACACGCACAAGCTGGTAATCCAGACAAGGTTGAAACAGATGGAAGCAGCTTCATCATATGCCGCCCGCTTTCTGAAGGTCCGCCGTGCTTGCTTAAGTGTATGTACTGCACATATGCACTAAACGTGCAAGCGTCTTCACGACGCTTCCTGTGGACAATGATGCGAGGACAATGCATAATGCACGTAATGCATGAGGCATCCGGGGCGTGTTTGCCCTATGACACGGACAGCGCCGCAGCGTTTGCTCAAATCCTGGCAAGGCATGTTGCAAGTCGTAGTTGTTAAGGCAGACAGCCCTTTTGGCCAGCCTCTTGACACGTTGTTTGCGAGTCAGATCCACGTGTGTTGCGCCTTGAAATGCCGCAGAGATGCTGTTTGCGACTCAATGCATTTGTATCCTCAAGGGCCCCAGCCCTGCAACGAAGGCACAGCAACAAGTCGGACCCACAAGTAGCAGACAGCTGCAGCTGCAGTGCAGTTTGCTTGCCTGTGAGGTCCACACACACACACACATTCTCCAGCCATGAGCGAGTTCTTCTTCACTGTCCCGCCATGCGAGAAGGGCAGCACCTTCAGGCAAATCGCTATGGCAGCTCAGCGTTGTGCTCCAGCTACTTTCCGTATCGCTACGAATCAAACATGCGACATCATGCGACAGGCTGCTCTTTGAGTCATCTCAGTCCTTGGGGCCAATGCAAAAGAGCAGACGCTTGGCCGGATTGGCCGCTCCGGGTGCAGCGGTGACTGTTTCCCGTTGCAGGCTGACAGCGCCGGACAAGAAGGTGCTGCAGCTGCCCATGCCGCCCGAGGTCTTGCCTGGCGCCACATGGCTGAATGTCGGTGGAGGCTTTGGGCTTGGCAATGCCACCGTTGTTGTTCAGCTTACAGCGTTTTCCCTTCAACGGTTCTGACAGTCCAGGCAACCATGATTGACATCACCCAGTCAGGGTCGTCACATTCCATCACCCCATTCATGAGCAAAGGCCTTGCTTGATTCGTATTGCCAATGATTTAATATCTTTATTCCCCGCTGTTTTCCTGCAGATCCTTGCGTGAGTGAGTCCCAGCGATCGAACATCAAGTTTCTATGGAGAGCATGCGTTTGCGCAACAACTTCCGCAGCTCAAACACATTGCTCTCCGCATAAGGGCAATGGAATTGATGTGACCTTGCTGTGACGCGGTCGTATCGACTGCTCCAAATCAGCACGTACCAGGTTTTCACAAATTGATGTGACTAAAGTTTGTAACTGTAGATGCGTGTAGTTGTTTTAGCTCACGGCGACGTTAGACACGCGGGAGGATCCTTCGTTTTTTCATGTTCATGACTTCTTCACAAACAAGCTGACGTAGCACGCTTGACTTCGATTCATATTTACCGCCAGTGGCAGGTCGCGTTTCCGCCACCCGCGCAAGAGCGCTCGTAGCACGCTTGACTACGATATATATTTACCGCCAGTGGCAGGTCGCGTTTACCAACACCCGCGCGAGCGCTTGACTACGATTTATAGTTTCCACCAGTGGCAGGTCGCGTTGAGTGTCACCTTCGCAAGAGCGCTCGTAGCACCCTTGACTTCGAGTCATATTTTCCGCCAGCGGCAGGCCGCGTTTACCGCCAACAGCTGCGCCGTAAATCCTAAACCTTAAGCCCCAAACCCTGAGCACAAAACCAGCCAAATGATAAGCACACCCGCTCAAGTGCACCCGCACAGCACTGCACACACGCCAGCCAAATGATAAGCACACCCGCTCAAGTGCGCCCGCACAGCGCTGCACACACGCCAGCCAAATGAGAAGCACGCCCGCTCAAGTGCACCCGCACAGCACTGCACACACGCCAGCCAAATGCGAACCTTAAACCCCAAACCCTGAACACAAAACCAGCCCAATGATAAGCACACCCGCTCAAGTGCACCCGCACAGCACTGCGCACACGCCAGCCAAATGATAAAGCACACCCGCTCAAGTGCACCCGCGCAGCACTGCACACACGCCAGCCAAATGATAAGCGCACCCGCTCAAGTGCACCCGCACAGCGCTGCACACACGCCAGCCAAATGACACCCGCTCAAGTGCACCCGCGCAGCACTGCACACACGCCTGCCAAATGATAAGCACACCCGCTCAAGTGCACCCGCGCAGCACTGCACACACGCCAGCCAAATGATAAGCACACCCGCTCAAGTGCACCCGCACAGCACTGCACACACGCCAGCCAAATGATAAGCACACCCGCTCAAGTGCACCCACACAGCACTGCACACACGCCAGCCAAATGATAAGCACACCCGCTCAAATGCACCCGCGCAGCACTGCGCACACACGCGTGTGTGATAAGCGCACCCAAATGATAAGCACACCTAGATAGATGTTGGGGGATGTGTAAAGACTTCATGCCCAGCCAGATAAGCACTAAGAGTGCTACGTCTGGCCTGCTGAACCCGCAGGTGTGGCAGTGGGCGTACAGCTTCCAATTCAGATACAATGCTGGGCCGGACCTGTGGCGTAAGGTTCCAGAGATCCTCAAAGCAGCAAACCGAGGGGGTGTGCCCGCGTGGCTAACGTCGCCGTGACCTTGTTTTACTTCGGCAGTTTTACTTTGTTTGTTGCTTTCAAAAGTAAAACTAGTTTATTTTTACTTCAGGCAGTTTTACTTGTACTTTTCATGGGCCCCAATGTTTTAATTGTTTGTTTTGCTTTGCACTTTCACGGAGGAAAATAAAGGAAGTAACAAATGAGAAGACGCAAACAGCAAATAAAACAAGTAGCACTTTTGGTTCCATGAAATGTAGTAAGTAAAACTCCCAAATGCGCGACTCTTGTTTTGCTTGTTTACTTTAGGAGGTTTATGTTGTTGTTGTTTTTCCCCCACACAACTGCCAAGAGTGAGGCATGTTTTACTTCAGCTAGAATTACTTTGTACCTTTCACGGGTCCACAAGTTTATGTCTGACCTTATTGTGTTGAATGGGAACATAAAAAAGAAACATCGCCTTTTCTTACTGTTCCGCCCCAAAACGTGCCCTTGTTCCAATTGTTTTGATTGTTGTTTCACTTTATTGGCTGCACAAGGCTGAACATAAACTCCTGCTGAAGTATGTCTCAATTGTTGATAGACTAGGAATACCAAACACATATACACAACACCGATTCAAAACTAAAAGCAGGAATGCCTAAAGAGACACTGCTACTCAACTCAGCAGCAATACTTGGTATTTGATGCTACAACACGGCTGAGTTCATCAAATACTGCAAGAACAACAGCTTGGCACTCATGTGCCTGAAGCAGCGATGCTAAACCGACACCAAAGTAATCTTGGCCCTTGTGGATCTTCCCAAAATGTCAACATGCATCCACTGATTGGCGGTACAAGTTCGATCCAGGAAAGCCCTTCCTGGAAGGAAAAAGAACTGGGCAACCTTAAAGCGGCCGCCGGCATCTCGAGAACTGGGCTTTGCCAGCAAGCAAACTAATGTTGATTCGCTGCTATGACTAGTCTAAGGTAAACGTGCTACTAAAAAGACACCAATTAACTAATATAAAACCGATTCCAGACTAGAGGAAGCAATGCTCAAACTGATGGTGCTACTACACCCACCAGTATTATATACTTGAGCAGCAGTATTACTCAATGACTACTAGCAAAAAAGTCCAGCAGAGCTGGGGGATAAGTTTCAATCAAAAACAAATTGTAGGTAGTTTGCTTTCGCTCTTTTTCTCGTTCTTGTTCGCGCTCTTTTTTTTAATGTCTGTCTCTCTCTCTCTCTCTCTCTTTCTCTCTTTCTATTTCGCTTCCTTTCCTCTTCTTTCTTTGTCTCCTCTTTGTGTTTTCTCTTAATGTTGGAACTTGATTAGTAAACCAGCCCCCTTCCCCCTCAAGGTCGACAAGGTTTGGGATCAATCCGGACCTGGCCAGTCCTTTCCGGTCCTTTTTGTGTGGACCCCTCTCTGCCCAATAGGACTCCAATAGGAAAGTTGAAGGAAGTTGCATTTTCTTATTTTCCAGGGCTGGAGAGGGACTTGATGAATCAGCGGGTTTTTGGTGTTGCTTGGGGGGGGCAGCCTTGAAGGGGGGTACCCTTTACGAGCTTGCCAAACCTTGTTGTTTAAAGCAAATTGTAATAATAAATTTGCTGTTTCATTTATCTAATTCTGGAATGGCAACCCTTGAGACTATGAAAGGAGTTGGTATTGGCAAAAGTATTGGCAATAGCCTTGGTTCTTTAATTTTCAGTCGTTTGGTATTTTTCAGAACTTTGGGCCGGACAGGGGCGTCTTCGTTCAGAGAGGGTCCTGGAGGAGCCTTTAAAAGATATGTCTTCTGTTTCTTGTTCTCCTTCTCCGTCGCTTGTTCTTTCGATCTTTCTCTTTCTATTTCTGTTGTTATTTTCTTCTCCTTCTCTGGTTCGTTTCTCTTGATCTCTATCTTTCTCTGTTCCTGTCTCCTCCACTTTCTCTTCTTCTTATCTTTGTCTTGCCTGTTATTTGTGTCCCTCTCTTTCTCTTGGTTTTTTTCTTGGATTATCTTTCTCTGATTTTTTTTTCTCTTCATCCGTCTCTTTCTCTGTTCCTCTCTGTTTATATGTTCCTTCTGTTTTTCTGTCTCCTTCTCTTTCTCTTTCTCCTTTTCTTTCCCTGTCCTTTGGTTTGTTTATCTTTATTTTCTCCTTTACTTTTTCTCTCCCTCTCTCTCTCTCTCTTTCTCTTTAGTGTATGGAGCATGAGCCCGACAGTGAAATGAGGACCAGATCCATCTGATCAAGAACTCTGAAGACAACTGGGTCTTCAAGAACATTGTCAGACCAGGCTGGTTTACTCGCAAAGTTTGTTGTTTGTTTCGAAGCAATAATGCATGCTATTTTTTTGCTGGCAGCCAAGCATGGTCTCAAATGCAACTCTAGTACCTTCGCTGGCCTGGTGCCATATGGCAGATGTGTGAAGTTAGCCGAGAGCGTGCCATGAATCACTTGCCAGGACCTCCCCAGAAGAAATCCGCGGAGGACGGAGTGCTTGTTGTGAAAGGTCTGCAACGGGAAAGCAATCAGCATATTCGCCTAAATGATTCAACATACACGGCCGCACTGATCACGACCAATGGTGAGAAGGCAGGAGTGGCGCTTAAAAGCGACTCAGACATTTATCCTGATCAAACGTGCCTGCAGCGGCCTTGGGACTGGCTGTTTTTGTTGCCACATCAAACCCCTCCCAGCCTAGTGAATGTCCTGGAAGGTGATTCATCGGCATTGAACCTGTTCACGATTGAATTGTGTGCCTGTGGCGGCGGGTGCTTGTCAGTTGGTGGCATGTGTACGATACCGACCAAAATAGCCTACGTCTGAATAGGGGGGCTTGGAGGGCATTCGGAGGATGCAAGAGAGTGCATTATTTTTTGCAGAAGACGTGAGAGGATGTGGAGAAGGATCTTAACGGCCCTGACGTTGTCAAGGCAAGCGCCCAACATGCCAAAGTGCAAGCATTTGTGATGTCGCGGAGTGGTGGAAACAGAGAACTGGAAACCCACTTGGTGCAGGTACGCTTAGATACCACCAAGGGGCAGATCGTGCTGAAGCTGGTGCCAAGCTGGTCCCCAAATGGCGTGCGGCGAATGCTGGAATTGGTGGATGATGGCTTCTTTAAGGCTAGGTAGTTGCGCGTTGGACATTTGCTTGCTAGAACCGATTGAATGCGCTTCTGATTTGGGAGTTTGATCTTGTTTGTGCTGAGTCTGTGGGCTATGAATGCCAACACGATCCCAACATGGCAGATATGAAGTGTATGAAGCCACTTGAGGACTTAGGAGGTTTAGTCAGGTCATTGCATCCTACCAGGTCATACCAATCCAGGTGGTTTAATGTTATAGGCTCCAGTCTTGGCATTTTGATTGGCGTGATTTGAAGTGGCAGGACCTGGCGATCTACCGTGGTGTACCCAACTTCCTGATTCAGTTTGGGATTGTTACTCGGCTGAATGCGACACCGAAGTCGGCCGACGTCCTTGCTCCATGCTCCAGGCGAATCCCAACCGCAAGAAGGCTTACACAATGATTCCAGATGACGCCCTTGCTGGCGTGCCATATCTCGAAGGCAGTGGCACATGTGATTTGCTTGCCCTTTCAGTCGCCTTCCTAGTTGCTGTTTGTTTGCTGAATGAGATTCTCCGAGCAGGCGGACAAATTTCGGCATTGATCCTGTATTCGCGACTCAGTCACTCTCAGTCCTGAAAATCTGCAATGTCTGTTGTAGCTGCCAGGCACTGTTGGTTTTGCCGCCGCTGGGCCGAACACACGAACTCAGCAGCTTTGCCTTTTTCTGGGTGCCTTGGCCAACATGCGTTGTCACAGGGGGGGAAGATGGCAGCCGCTCCGCTGCCAAGAGGCCAATGACAGGCTCACTTTTCTCTCTGCAAGGGCTGTAAACATGGATTGAGACAAAACAAGCGTGCCTATGGGGAATCAGTTGTTGGGGGTGCCGCAACGGAGATGGGCCGATTGCTTCAGGATGGGCATGCAGGTGCTTGTAGCTTTTCTGTGAGAACCTCGCACGCACGCCGTTCAAAGTCTTGTGTGGTTCAGATTGAAATACGGACTTTGTTGGGAAAACAACGAGATCAATGCCAATCAGGACCTCTTCAAGAAAGAACATGCGCTACGGCGGACCCTACCAATAATGCTTTCCTTCTTCGTGAGGCGAAAACCCGAGGATGTATTGTACGAATATCTAATCCTATACACGTTGCAGACAATAGTTTGATGGTGCTCGTATGGAAAAGTTGGGCAGCTCCATGAAGCAAGGCTGTAGCAAACAAACCGAACAAAGGTGACGGCTGATTCTGTGCGACTTACTGTACTAGACAATCAAAACAGCAAGTTGTCTACGGGCTTGTCCGGAAGGTTATCCAAATGGGTGTTTGGAGGGTTGTTCAATTATGTTGCCGAGATTTATGCTGCCAACATTTGTAAGCCCCCCTTGCCCCCAGTGCGAGAATACTTTGCGAGTGAATGTCCGAGTGCTGGGTCGCATAATTTTGGGCCGGCCTCAGAAGCAAATGTCTGGCAACCTGTCCGGGAGTTTGTCCGGCCATGTTTGCGCCCTCAAGGGTTTGTCCGGCAGTTTTAGCCCGTTTTGAAGCTGAAAAGAAAAGCAGGAGTTTCTGCAGAACCGCCCGGTTTCCATGACATGGTGCAGAGATGTGCCAACTCGCGGACAAGACGCGGAAATCGCAGGGAATACACGGAAATTGGCGGAAAGAGTCACTGACCGCATGCAGACACTATTTTCTTGGAAGGCTGTCCGCTTGTTGCCAATTGAGGTCCATGCTGGAGTCCCAAGAGTTTTAGCTGCTGCGTGTTTGATGTTGATCAGATGTTGCGTTTGGCAAACTTCTTGCTTTGACTTGAAGGCATCGATCCTGTAAGTAAGCAAAAACTGGATCATAACATGAATTATGTACGAAATTGTCACCAGGAATAAGCCGCTTGCCGTAGCTTCTAGTTTCACACACACACACACGCAGAGGCTGAATTATGCCAAGCTGTAACCTAGCGAAGCTAGAGGCAGCACAATGAAACACAGAATCAACATCGGTGCAGCACCTACCAAGAGTGCACACGCCCAGAAACATCCTGACGTGTGCGTAAGCAAACCAGTTTTAAGCTATTGCAAGTAGTCTGTCTCAGGCTCGGTCACTATCCAAGAAGCTTTTCCGGTTCACGCATTGTTCAAAGCAATAGTTCCGTATCACCGGGCTGGCTTTGAGGCGCTCAACCGGGATTGGGCCAGAACTCAGTGGAGACGCCCATCGGGCGTGCGAGCGCCGAGAGCCTGCCAGTGCTCCGGGCGCTGAAGCTTCTGGGCGACATTCCCCAGTGCGGAGGCAGTCGAAAGAGAGCCGTGCCGTGTGGGGTTTTGAACAGGGCCTTATGATATGGTAGGCGTTGGAAGACATTGTGGCAGCTTCAAGCCAGAAGCAAGCTGATTGCTGTGCTACAAAGCTTGTCGAATCTGCAACTGGAGACTTAAAACAAAAACAAAAACTACAAACAGGCGATCTTTTGAGAATAGGAAGACTTGAGGCAGTCCACACAAGGCACGTGATGTCAGGTGCAACTTGCACTGCTAAGGACCTGGCAGGCAATTGTTTGTGTTGTATGCCACTACAACAGTTGCATTGTGCTCCCCCTCAAATGGATGGGGGAGCCGCACTGGATTACAAATGGGTCGATGGTCAGGACTGGTTGTTCATGGTCTGAAATCAAGATTTTCGCGTCTTGTTTGCATCTTCTTAGGGTTGCAGCTCATTGTTGCATTGAAACCTCTTAGATTTGGATGTAAGCTTTCTGAGTCAACACGCATGGACTTTCTTGAAGCAATCTCAGACTTGAATTTGACTCCATGATTTGAGGCATTCAGGGCTTGATGCCATATTCAAGCTTGCGTTTGTTGCGCCTGGGCTGGAGTGGAGTTGCTGAGAGTGGAGTTGGGGTGGGCTGTGTGGTTGGGGTGAGTGCAACACGCACTGGACATACTTGGGAACCCGAAGCGACCACTGGTGAACGTCAAAACCACAGCATGAAGGAGACCTGCCAGTTCCAAGGCAGAAAATCCAGGAATTGAATAACATGAAAACCTCCCAACGAATATCCGGGCCCTTGGAAAAGGCTCAAGTCTGGATTTTAGGTTTCCCGTGCTTCACGGGCTCCTGCCCGGAAAGCCTCAACCCAAGTTACATAAAACTCTGGAAGCTTATTTCCAGGTTTTAACCCTTCTTGAATCGGGTATTCAGCCCATCCCCTTCATATGAAACATGTGGTTTCGTCTGGGACAAATCCAATGGGGAAGCTTTACTTTCCTCCCTTTGGTCACCGCGGGAAGATGCGTGCAGGCTCCGGGCCGGATCCCACCAAGCTGGCAGACTTGGGCAATGCCGCTTGGGCGCCAAAATTTAAAACCACCTGTTCGTAGGACTGCACTCGATGAAGCCGGGGGGTATCATGATCTGTTGAGGTGTGGTTGCGCACAACCAAGGATTGTCGTGAATGTGAATTGCATAGTGGTTCACACTACTTTCCCTCGTACACAGCTCGACAGTCAAAATGCAGTTGCATATGAATCAAGGTTTACAGGCTGGGTTCGGAGGAGGTTGCGCAAATATACTGTACTGTACTTCTACCATACCATATTGCCTACAGACATGCTGCCTATTTACGTGCACACCTGTAAATACCTGCATGCCTGCATGCAGACATCTATGCATCCATGCATTCGTACATCCAAACATCCGTCGACCCATAGATCCATATAGAACATAGCAAAACATGGCATAGCATATCATAGCATACATACCTACCTGTATGCATGTATACATGTAAGGTGTGTGTATACATGTTGGTTTACTGGGGTGGTAAACCTTTGAACAGATGATGTGAGAGGCTTTGCATAACGCGCGGTAAACAGGCTGCTTCGTATTGTCATTCTATGATGCTCAAACAAACATGTCTATTTGCAGGGGGGCTGCCTTTGAGGACTACATCGCCAAGAGCTTTCCGGGCTGCGACTTCATTACGGGCGCTGCACGTATTTGACCCGACTTGTTGGTTGCCGGGCTTCGACCAGCCTCAATCTCGAGACTGCCAATGCATTTTGACAGGAATGCCAGCTGGGTTGGGCAACATTTGGTCAGAGAGCCAAAAAGTCACAGGCATCTTTTGGCCTTTGCAAAAGCGTAGTGATGAGCTTCGTTGACATGATTTGGATATTTCGTCCCACCATGAATGATGTTTTCACCAGTCTGAAGATTTCGCTGAACCCTCGTAGATTTAGCGCTTTCTATGCGCAGGTTTAGAAAGCTGAGCTCCAGCACTTGGATAGAGAACCTGCCCAGAACCGGCATTGCAGCGCACCAATCCGCACCATATGTTTGTGTCCGAAGATGTCAGCAGTACAGAGCACCGGGAGCTGCCGCCTGTTGTGGACAGGTCTGGGGGCGCCAAGTTGGCTGGAGTTTGTGAAATACTAGACAGGGAGTCGCTGCAGATCAAAACAGCATGGGTTGCACCTCGCGCACAGAAGCTGTTCCACTTTAGCTACTGCTTCTTGCCAGGACGCTGATGCAGTTGTGCATGTCCTTGCAAACAACGCCTTTGAGAAAGCTGTCCGCAGTCTGCCCAGCCACAGCAAAACAGGACCAAGGCGCAACACGACCCAGCATGAACTCGCAGCTTGGAGAGTTCTTGGCGATGCATCCTCAAAGGCAGCCCCCCTGCAAATAAACATGTTTGGGTGAACATCACATAATGGCAAGACACAGCAACCCGTTTGCTGCACAAAGCACAAACACAATGTCGCAGGAGCTTGACTCATTGGCCTCGGTTACGTTCATTGTTTTTTGTTTCATTGTTCATTGTTTTTTTTGGTTACGTTCACGTTCATACCTATAAACTCCAAAAGGCGAAAATTTCAGCCTGAGACTCGAAAAGGCGCCTTTTGCCGTCCAGCGGCGGAACTTGATGGGGAGCTGGTTGTGGCGGCGTTTTTCAATCTGCGACGGCGTTTTTGCGGTTTGTGGGCATTTTGCCTGACGTGGGCCGCTTTGCAAGATCTGCGCACCTGACCGCGACTATGCAACTTTGCCAGGTTTTGTGCTAGGCTTTGTGGGTTGGTGAAACTCGGTGCGACCTGTTGGAATTCCCATCGAGCTTTACCGCCAAATGTGTTGACTTGCACCGGCGCAAACCTACGTCCCGACGGCGGAAACGCGCGGCCCGACGGCGGAAACGCGCGTCCCGACGGCGGAAACGCGCGTCCCAACGGCGGAACTCGAGATCGCAAACGCTTTCTTGAGGATTGATCCAGGTGTCACAGATCGACCAAAGCCGCCTTGCAAGGGGGCGAGAGTCGGCTTTGTGTTGTGTTCAGCGCTTCATGTTGCTACCTTCTGAGACTGCTTTGCGCCGAGGCCCTGAGCTGATTTGGATCAGCCAGGGGCCAACGGCGTTTCTTGCAAACTGCCGGCGTTTCTGGAATTCAACGGCGTTTTTTTTGCTGCGGCGGCAGAAGTTCCCGTCCAAAATCACAACGGCGTTTATTTTAGCCCGACGGAGTTCTCAGGTATATAGCTGTGCTCTGATGTCCATGCCGAGCAGCGTTCGTCAGCGCTTATCAATGCCATGCTGGTTAGAGCCATGAGCTGCCTGACGCCGCGGCACCCAGCTCTACGCGAAAGATGAGGTTTGCGGGCGGCATCGTTCGCTTTGTTCAAGGCATGTTGACAAGACGGGACTGGCGCACCCTCCACCAAGCGGCAAAGTACCAAGACAGCGCAAAGTGTTGCACTGAGCTGTTTTGCCAAAACAGCTGATGGTTCCCGCAAAAGAGCTTGACTGACATGCAACCTTCCAGTCCTTGTTCACGTGCTGTCAAAGAGCAACAGCAGCGTTTCATCCAAATTTCCGACATGGGATCGACTGTTTTCAGGCCCCTAGCTCCAGCTGGGATTTTCTTGGGGTGGGGCGGTCAGGAGCCGCGCCTTCTGCCTATCCCTGCAGCAGCGCCCCGCGCGCTTCGGCGCCGCTGAGGCCGCGATGGCGCAACTTCCGGAGTCGCTGCAGCTGGAGATGTTCCCAGGACCGAGAACCGATTCGGCTCCCGAACTCGCCGGAAAAAGACAAGCCTGCCACCAGTTCCCTTTCGAGTGTCACATCTCAGGACCTGTTAAGTGTTGACCAGAACTGTGGGCCAGTTGTGGTTTCTACCATGATGTTGATCAACAGTGCTGTGATCCACGCTCAGATTCATGCCTTTCCCAGACGCGTCTTGTTCTTGTGCTCTTGTGCCAGGCATCTACGGCAATGACTTTCGGCATTTGCTGCCAGACCTGTCAGCCTTGGAAGCTGCCATGGGCTGCCGCCTGTACCACCAGTGGCCCATTTGCGATGTGGAGGATGCGCCATGGTCCAACGCTTTGGGGGAATCATTTTAATGCTGCTGCCCTCCTCGGCGGCTAGGGCCGAGGAGCGGTTCCCCCAGCACGAGCCGCAGACGCATGACACCCACGTACCCACCCAGCAAAGGCCGCAGTCAGACAACAGCCGCTTGGGGCAAAGAACATTGTCCACAGCCCTGTTCAAATAGAGCTGGGCTGTTTTGAGCAAGAACAGTGTCTTGTAGACAACGTCCCCGAGCTCACCCAGTGCAGATCTGAAGAAAGAAAACAACCCAGTAGAGCTCGGCTATGTGAGAAAAAACTGGCAAGCTCAATGCTAAACTGCAAAGCCTATGAAACCTGGAGACATCTCCCTGAGGCCAACTCGGGGGGGGGGGGGGCTCTGAACTAATTCTTACCCTTGCCTCTCAGTCGGCGGACTTGGTCGTGTTTGAGTCGAATGGCATGAAGACACAGTTGGATGTTGCCGGGTAGCCTGCTGGTTCTGACCTTTGTCTACTTTAGGTTGTCCGAATGAAGCCGGAGCTGGCGGAATTGCCGGACTGGAAGGCCTGGGAGACCTACATCTCCTGGCACCGAGTCTCGGAGGATCCGTGTCAATTGCAAAGCCATCGATTTTGCTGCTAACATTAGCAGTCGTGGTGTATGATGGTTATGGTCTTGATTGTGCTAGTCTTACTGCACTTGGGCGAATGCTCAAGCCATGCTGAAGCCCTTTGATGATGCCCGATTCATTCCTAGAGATGTGATTGCCGGCCTGAAGCGTGTGCTGCTTGTGCAAATCCCAGCTCAGGATGCTGGATATCTGACCGAGCCAAATGCTTAGTCAAAGGTGACAGTGCACTTGACAGTGTCATGCGCAGTCATAGCATTCACTCAAGGGACAGATTCACACATGAGGCCAGCAACTACATTGACTTCTACAACAGACACTTGAAACTGGGCGAGGCCAGGAAATAAATGCCTTGGACGAACGCGCATGATTGTGTTAGCTGCTTGCATGTGTTTTTCTTCCTTTTTTTTCCGGCTGCCTGCCCTGAGCAGGTCGCTGCCTGTCTCGGCCACTTCCGGCTCTGGCAGAAGGCCGTAGAGGAAGACTTGGAGCTGTGCGTTGTCTTTGAGGATGATGCCAGGCGTGAGTTGGTGACATGCTTCAGCTTGTGAGCTGAAGCGCCTCAAGCAAAAGCCTGCCACATACTACTGTACAGTAAAGAATATCAAAGCATCTCGGAGCAGGATCTTTTTCCACCTGGCGTGATGTCGGAAGCTTCATGCTTGCTTCCATACTTGTAAGCGCCAGAATTTCCCAAGCCCTGTTTGTCTGAATGTAGAAGCCGAAAGACGTGCAGGCCAAGCCGGTCTGGGCTGGAAAAATTCCTGTCTGAGCTGGCAAAGCTGGATGCCATGGAGTTTCAGTGGGAGACTTGGCCGGTTCCGGCTGCAGCGATTGGTCCCTCTTGAATCGGTGAGGCTTGTTGTTGCCGATTGGCCCCTCCAGAGGATTTGGAGCAACGGCTGGCGCGGTTTCTTCCATGTTTCTGGTGGCGCTCAGCTTGCTTGCGCTTTCTTTGCTCTGAGGATTTGATCTACTTGCACTCAGCCCTGTACTCCAAGGCTCAGGAGCCACATTGCACGCTACAAAGCAACGGATGGCTTGCCAGGCATGACAATGCAGAATCAAGATGGTCTACGCGTTTATTGTTTGGTCAATTTCAGCAGTGGGGTCGGGTCATTTGCTGGAGCATCGCAGTGTGGTCTGTTCTATTTGTTAGGCAGTTGACAGCTTCTCGGGCAACAAGGGCTGTGGCAAGTTCTTTCAGGGCACATGCGTTGCGCAAGTAGATGCGAGGTCGTAAAGTGATGTCTCGCGTCTTAAATAACATAATTTTGCGCTGGTGTATATCTGTAGATCGTCACAAATCGTAGCTTTCCCGAATTATGTGGTTCTCTGAACATATCCAGCATGCCACGGTTTATATGAGCTGACATGGGAGGGATATTGGGGGACTCAACAATGTACATTTCCCACACAAACGAGAGGACCGCTCGTGTTCCCTGGTCCTTTACAGCAACGGTCTGTTTGGACGGGGCTATCCCTGGCTCATATTCACAAGACTATACCATACTTAAGCCGAGCGGGCCGTTTTTTGGGCCACCCATTCACTTCATTTTGCATATTCCAGGAGCCAGAAGTTCCGGGCTGCGAGCTATTGTTGGCTGGTCACCGCAAGTGGGCAGGCAGGGAATGTCTGCAATTCGACAAGAACCCGCCGGAAGCGACATCCATTTTGCACAGCTCGATTCAAAGGCATTGAGGGATTGAGGGCTCGCTATGCGCGATTTGTTCCGCTCAAGAGGGATGGCTGAAAGCAGTCAGTCGCAAATTCCGAAGGGTCTTGAGTTGGCGAGCCACGCCTCTCGTGCCGGCTGTGAGCACTGCTGGAACTGAGAATATTTGACGCAGGTGCCTACGCACTTTCCTCTCGTGGGTTGAAGAAGCTGGTGGCCAGCGGGCAGCTCGGTGTGAGACGCCAGCTTTGTTACCCGACTGCGCTCTCCACGACAAGCTGTGCTTGTGCCTTTTTCTGCGCTCCATTGGAGCAGCACTCTGGAAAGAAAGATGACTCACAACGCGTGGTCACGCTTGTTCAAAGGACGGCCCGAGTTTGTTCGGCTGATGTCTGGAAGTGTAACGAACACCCTAAAGTTTCGGGGGGTATTGTACGCGGAACAGGGTGGTTGAGGAGCAAGAAATCAGACAGCCAGGCAAGTTGCAACTTCACAACTTTGCGTGGAGCAGTAGAAGTGGAAGCCATCACAGACTTCGTCATCCAAGTCTCCTTTTGTTGATTTCCGAGGGTGGATAGGTTGCGCACGTTGCTTTTCGCTTTTGGAACAAGGCCTCAACAACAGTGGGCTTGAGCATGCTGTCCATTTTGCTTCAGGTACGATCAATGTATCTTTCCAGTGGACGACTTTCTTCCAGCCCTTCATTCTTTCCACCCACGCCCAGACATCCGGGACTTGCCCTGCGTGGGGGCTCTCAGAAACATGGTGAATCCAAAGACATGGGTTTCTTCCAAAGGGCAACCATCCGGTATGCACTTTGCACAAGCTGGCCAAAGGCTTGTGGCATCTTGTGGCATCAAGTTTGACATTCGATGGAAGCCGCAAGCAAAAAAGCCATTGGACACCGGCGATTCTACTAGAATCATGTCTTGCAGGGTCAACTCTCGTGCAATTGTGGATATGTTCAGCTTCGAGCTCTTTGTTTGGCAAGCAGGTCCGTGCAGTAGATGGCTTCGTGGCACTCACCGTCCCAGACACCCAGAAGCTGGTGGAGGTGGAGGATCGAGGCCTGACATCTTTTTGGGCATCGGGTTCCTTGAAAGGGAATTCAGCTGAGAGAAACTGAAACCTTGTTGGACATTCATTGCTATAGGCATAAGGGATCATGAGATGACGGAAAGCGCTTCTTGAAGCGCTGGGAGTTAGTGTACGAAGTTGTGGGGGGGGGGGGTGTGGGGGGGGGGGGGGTAACCTCGTTCCGGAAGATTTGCAGGTTTGGTCAGCCGAAAAATACTCCCAAAAAATGGGAGTATTTTTTGGAGCACTTGCTGCCACCGCAAGGCTGGTTTTTGGTGTTTTTCCCTGTGTTTTTCGCGCTTTTTCGTCGACGCTGCCTATCATGTCTGACCTTTTCGTCTGTGGCTCTCGCGGGCCAAAAAGCGTGCCAGTTTTACATCATTTTACTTTGCTTCCGGCCTTGCCGGACTTGGGCGCACAAGGGGTGCCGGGGATGCAGGGGATGCCGGGGATGCAGGGGATGTCGCTTGTTTTGGAAGTTTTTGTGGTGGTCGGCGATGCTGGGGATGTCGCAGGAAAAATACTCCCATTTGTTGGGAGTATTTTTTGGAGCACTTTCTGCCACCGCAAGGCTGGTTTGCAGGTCCCAGGGAGACGACACCGGGTGTGTAAGTACGGGCGCTGGTTTGGGTTGTTGCAGGAGGGTTGTGCAGTTGTTGGTTTGCTCTGACTTGGGTCAAGCTGGCAAGGGACAGCAAGGCAAAGCAAGGCAAACCAAGGGAAAGCAAGGGCAAAGGAAGCGAAAGTAGGGGAAAGCAAGCCAGGCAAGGGAAAGCAAGGCAAAGCAAGGGACAGCAATGGACAGCAAGGGAAAGCAAGCAACAGCACGGGCAAAACAAGTCAAAGCAAAGGAAAGCAAGGGACAGCAAGGGACAGCAACAAAAAAGCAAGGGAAAGCAAGGGAAACACAAGGGAAAGCAAGGGACAGCAAGGCAAAGCAAGCGAAAGCACAGGCAAAGCAAGGCAAAGCAAAGGAAAGCAAGGGACAGCAAGCAAGGGACTGCAAGGGAAATCAGGGGAAAGCAAGGGAAAGGGAAAGCAATGGAAAGCAAGGCAACGCAAAGGAAAGCAAGCGCAAGCAAAGGAAGGCAAAGACCGCAAGGGACAGCAAGGGAAAGCAAGGGAAACCAAGGGAAAGAAAGGGACAGCAAGGGAAAGCAAAGGGAAAGGGAAAGCAAGGACAATCAAAGGGAAGCATGGGAAGGCAAGCAAAAGCAATGGAAAACAAGGGAGAGCAAGGCAAAGCAAGCAAAAGCACGGGCAAAGCAAGGCAAAGCAAAGGAACACAAGGGACAGCGAGGGAAAGGGAAAACAAGGGAAAGCAAAGACAAGCAAAGAAAGCAAGGGACAGCAAGGGAAAGCAAGGGAAAACAAGGGAGAGCAAGGCAAAGCAAGCTAAAGCACGGGCAAAGAAAGGGAAAGAAAGGGAAAGGGAAAGCAGGGACAAGCAAACGAAAGCAAGGGACAGCCAGGGAAGGCAAGGGAAAGCAAGGGAAAACAAGGGAGAGCAAGGCAAAGCAAGCTAAAGCACGGGCAAAGCAAGGGAAAGAAAGGGAAAGGGAAAGCAGGGACAAGCAAACGATAGCAAGGGACAGCCAGGGAAGGCAAGGGAAAGCAAGGGAAAACAAGGGAGAGCAAGGCAAAGCAAGCAAAAGCACGGGCAAAGCAAGGCAAAGCAAAGGAAGGCAAGGGAAAGCAAGGGAAAGCAAGTGAAAGGGAAAACAAGTGAAAGCAAAGGATAGCAGGGCAAAGAAAGCAAAAGCATGGGCAAAGCAACGCAAAGCAAAGGAACACAAGGGAAAGGAAGGGACAGCAAGGCAAAGCAAGCAAAAGCACGGGCAAAGCAAGGGACAGCAAGGGAAAGCAAGCGAAAACAAAGGAAAGCAAGGGACAGCAAGGCAAAGCAAGCTAAAGCACGGGCAAAGCAAGGCAAAGCAAAGGAAAGCAAGGGACAGCAAGGGAAAGCAAGGAAATTGGAAAGCAACGGAAAGGGAAAGCAAGGGAAAGCCATCGCATGCCGTGGCAGGCGCTTTCCGTTGTTTGCCGGACTGGTTTGCAGGCAATACTGGCATGAAGAAAAAGGAAAATGACGGTGGAGATGGGTTTGGAAGCGTAGTTTATTAGCACATCGAAAGCCATGCTTGTTTCGGCTTGTTTGATCTTGTTTGACTGTGAGACGATGACCTATGAGGTCCTGCACGGCTGCATATTAACATTCACGTTTGCTCGACTATCATGCAAAGGGGCAATATTGCCCAATGTCCAACATCTCAAGGCCATGTGGCTAAGTCACTGCGCCTTGGGGAACGGAGTGTCATGGAGAGCTCCAGGCTCTGTGAGCAAATTCTCCACGGTGCTCTTGGGGGACTTGGGGGCCACCATGGGCGACTCGGAGGATGAGTGCGAAGCGCAGCCACTGGAGGCCTTCGAGGCATTCGGGGCCGTTCGGCTTGCACGGACTCGCGCGAACCGAACCGTCGGAGGGGTCGCGAGTCTTGAGGACCCGAAAACAATGCTCATGCTATGATTGGGGCAGTGCATTTTTTTGACTGACGGCTTTCCGCAAATCAGTTGGAAACTCCATATATACCTTTGGGCCTCGAGACGCTAATTAAAGACTTTAAGCAACAATTCAAGCAAGCTCTCTAAAATGTTCCTTGAAGAATACAAATGCGATTGTGAGACTAATCTGCACATTTCGGGCACCAAATGTCAGAACTGCCCCCTGATTGGACATTCACATGGCAAGGCTGGTTGGTGACAGGTTTGGCATGACGTTCTCTGCGCTCCGGAGGACTTCTCCTTCCAGAGCGATGCTGCCGCAGCTGCGGCAATGCTGGCACAGCACGGCTTTGTGCTGCAGCTCGGCTCGGCATGGCGTCCGAAGGTGACAAGCCATTTGATGTGTATAGTACGTGTATATATATATATGCGCCTTATAGATTATGTAAGTGGTGCGTGTGTTTGTTTTGGAAGCTACACTTTGGAATTCATGATGCCATGTTTGAGTAGACCAGGCCACCCACTGGGTGTGTCTCAGAGCTTGTTTCAAAACGCGCCCCTGCAACTCGATTCGATTGCCGACACCTCTCCTTCGAGGCTTCGCCTGCCAGACTCCTTCGCAGAAGCAGAGGAGGCGTGGCAGGAGTTCTTCGCAGGCCGGCATTTAGTTGGCTGTATCTGTGGCTCAAGGAAACAGTAAGGAAACCCGGAGAAAGCAGCGGTGTGTCACTGCCAGGCAGCAGAAAGAGCTGCTTTCGAGGCCTTCGATCAGGCGCAGGTTTGGTTCCCAGCTCCCGGTGCGTGTCCAGGTTTGGAGTTGCGTGCGATTGAAGGTCTGGCTGCAGAACTGCCCTTGGCAGATGTCGGGTACACTCGCCAGACCGCCAGAGAGCACTTTCACGTGATCCTGGGGGCATCGGACCAACAGGAGCCTCTCGTGTTTGTCCAAGGGCCAAGCCAACAGGCACCCTTTGTGTATGTGTTGCGCATGCGGCATGGCTGGGTAGCATGTACTTTTGAGCCGCAACGGCAAGAGAAACAGCTACGCTTGATGTTGGCACAGGCGGAAGCTCCAGCTTCGGGAGGAGCAACGCTGATTGCATGTTGAAACAGGCAAGGCAAACATATGGGCACGGCTGTCGAAGCATTCCAATCGGGTTGCGGTGAACCGAACAACCCGAGTTCTCTGACAGCAGGCAATACTTCAACTGAGAAGCATCAAGTAGCGTTGCCTTTGTCGGCAGTGCATTAGCTACTTTGTGCCGCGTGTACTTGAAGGCAATACCAGATCTACATCACAGGTCTTGGCAGATGTTTTTTGCAACCAATGGCTGTTATGCACTGCCATTTTTCTTAAGGCGGTCTCGAAACTATGTTGCTGTTGCAGCTGCCAGGAAGTCAACTGCCATTCACGGCTTGTTTGTCCAGAATTCTGAGGAGTGGCCACCAAAGCTGCAGCAGAAGACGCAGCCGTTGGTGGATGCGCTGGTGGTTTGGCGTCAGTCGAGCATTGCGTCACGTTGGGCCAGACTTGGGGTGAATGAATAGCCTTGTGGTTTTTGTTCCACAAGTGAGGATAGGAGTGTTCTTTTTGAGGCTATAGTTTTGGAGGCTGCAAATGTTTTCCTGGGCCGGCAGGGGTTGGTTTCTCCAAAGATTGTTTGCCGCAGCTGCAGCCTTCTCCTGGTCTGTTCTTTTTTCCATATACTTGTTTCGAGAGAGCCACGGGACTAGGGGTAGGTCTAGCCCTTGTCTCAGGAACAGCTGTGTCGACAGTTGCTCCGCGCGCTGCCCAACGGCCCCGTGATGGACGAAGCCTGGGAGCGGGAGACGATGCGCACCAAAGACGCCTCCGTCTTCGACGCCTTTAGCTACTTCCCAAGGACAGGAAATCAATCTGGGCCGGGTACAATACATGCGAAGTGAGGCCAGAAGCATGTCATAAGATGGCAGCCATGGCATGGAGGATGCACGAGTTATTTGCCTTGCTCTTGCACGACTATTTCCCACAAGAACAAACAAGGTGTTTTACTCTGAGAATGGTGGATGGGGCACGACCGGGCTGGATGCCAAAGACGAGCGAGCAAAACTGGGCTTGTGTTTGTGTGCAGGTTTGTGCGCGTGTAGGTGTTTGTGTGCTTGGTCGTTGTGTGTTTGTTTTGGGTGCGACTGTGTTTGTTTTGTTTGTGTGTGTGGGTTTGTTTGTTTGTTTGTTTGTTTGTTTGTTTGTTTGTTTGTTTGTTTGTTTGTTTGTTTGTTTGTTTGTTTGTTTGTTTGTTTGTTTGTTTGTTCTGTCTGTTTGCTTGTTTGTTTGCTTGCTTGCTTGCTTGCTTGTCAGTTTGTTTGTTTGTGAAATGTGAAATGTGAATGTGTCTGTTTGTGCAATTGTGTGTGCGTGCGTGTGCTTGCTTATACATATATATATATATATGTATATGGTTTTAGGTATGCGTCGTGTGTTGTAGGAAACTGGCTTTGTGGGTTGTGAATTGAACTATTCGGATTTTTTGGCGGGCAGTCAGTATGCTTGAGGAGCGCAGATGCAAGCTCCCAAGATGCTCAAGGCCATGCGAGAGTCACGGTTTTGCAGAGTTGCAGTTGCAGCCTGCTGTCGGCACGCAAACACGGCAAGTTCGGTCCCAGCTCAGGGACTGAGATGTGGCAAGTAAGTTTGCCATGCGTACTTATCCAGCTCCGTACACACAGTATTGCAACATTGTGACTGCGAAAGCTAGATTGCAGCTGGATTTCCCTGTCATGCACGAGTTGGGCAGTCTTCAACCTTGAACTTGATCTTTCCATACCCCCTGCAAACTCCCCTCGATTGCAGGTGCGGCCTCCCTCGCCATGGCAGCGCACACGGACAGGGCACGAGCGCACAACCCTTCAGTCATGTTCGGACTTGTGAATTCGCGTGCGCTACTGAGACTTTCTGACAGAGCTTCGAACAACAGCAACATGTTGTCGTGGTGTAAATGCGCCCTGCTGCCAATACAGTTCGATCGTCATTGCAAATGCCACCGACAGGGCCACCTTTGAAAAGACCCGCGAAGCTGCCCGAAGTGCCAAGACCGTTTGGATCGTTTGGATCGTTTGGATCGTTTGGATCGTTTTGGATCGTCTGAGTGAATTTCCGATTCGCTTTGCAGGACCCGGGCTTTCTCACTGCAAAGCGGCTGGGTCAAGTGCCCGGCCTCGAGATCCGCACTGCGGAGGGCTGGCTCAGCCTGGAGGGCCAGGCCTTTTTTTTTTTTTTCTGAGCCGTTGTCAATATGGAAATAATGGAATCCCTTTGAGGTTGTCTTGAAGGAAGATGGAATTCCGAGCTCCACTACTTTTTCAGACAAATCCATGCCGTGGATTCGCGTGATGTTCTCACTTCTGGCCTTTAATCGGCAACACTACTGCAGTTATGGTGCACAGTTGGCTCAACTGAGCCTCGATGTTGTCGATGCTTAGGCAACATTTTGGAAGGTTATGGGCTTGGCATCCATCAATCCAGACACCCTCATATCCGTAGGACAGAAACGGCCACGATGTGGTCGTCTTTGCAGCTGACATGCCCGCGAGCCTGGAGTTGAGGGTTGTTGCAGCTTTCAGCCCAACATGTCCGAATTTTATAGGGGCAAGTTGTTTCAAAGGAGACACATATCACTGTATTTGTATATTCCATAGATAGTGTAATGTATTATATGTAGCGATTTAATAGCGTCTGTAAGTTTGCATACATCTATACTATATACCCTGGGGTTCGGGGGCCTTAAAAAGAAAGGCCTTTAGGAAGCGGCCGTGAAATGTGGGGAACGTCCTTTGTTTGCAAGCTGGACGCTTTTAATTGGGTTGAGCGTTTTGTGTTGGCCGCATTAGTGGCCACATGGCTTTGCAGTGCTTGTGGCTGAAAGTACGCTTTCCAAAGCCTCGCGAAAACCATGTAGACATGTTGAAGCTGGTCAATGCTCAAGATCTTCAACTTTGTGGGATTTCTAAAGACACTGATCATGGGCTTAGCAATGGGACATCGCCAAAGGGAAAAGCGTGAAAATACCGTGAAATTGGCGTGAACGCCCTTTTTTACAATGAAAGACCGTGAAACGCCGTGAAATTTGGCAGGGCGAAAAACCACTCACATTCGTCCTGGCTGGCGTTGTTTTCTGCTGGGTTTGAAAAGGTCCTGCTGAATGGATGTTTCGGAAGACCATGATTGTTCCATTGATGATGCAGAAATGTGCTGCTTTAACGTTGAGGCCTTCGCAAGTCTAGCTTGGTGTGGAAAAGACTTGTTGCTGACGATGTAAAGTTGGAATTCCACCCAGGCCCCCATCCCCCAGCTAGTCAAACAAAGGATGTTCATGTAACGGGCTTTGTTTTAAAAGCCTTTTACCCCCCAGGGTATAGATCTATGGCCTAGTTCACAATTCTACGTGCGGCTGTGGCAACCAACGATTGGAATGAAGAGTCCCCAGCACGTCTTGTGTAGCGTTGTGGTGCCTGGCTTAAGGCACAGCGGACAGAGCAGTTGCAATCCAGTGTGAAGTAGTAGAGATCATAGTAGAGATCTGCCTTCTCGTCACTTGCTCAGCGCATTAGGTTGGAGCGCTGGACCTTTGGTGCGGTGTCCAGCTGTCGGCATCGTGTGCGGAAGCCCTCGGAGACGCGGCTGTCACTGGTGAAGCTGGGACAGCACAGCCGAGCACTTTCTTGACGCACGCAGTAGCGAGAGTGTGTTGGAGGCATTTGTTTTTCAAGGTTGTGCGTGAAGTTGTTAGTTTCCGGGCGCAGTGGATGATCGGCGGCGCTGTTCGGCCTGTTGCCCCTGTTTGCATCGCAAAGGCTTCAAGAATAGCTGACAAGCTCATGTTATAGGTATAGGTGTGATCTTGTGCGATTTTCTGCCCTGCTTGGGATCAGAAAGACTTACACGGCTTCAAGGAGCCTGATGTGCGTATTTTGTGGTGCATTGCCGAGACTCTAAAGCCACATTGCTCTCGCCCCCCCCCCCCGCACCAGGTATGAGATGCGACTGTTGCGCGAGGGCGCCAGCATAGATGAAATTTGCCAGTCGGAGAAACGCAGCCGCAGTTTGCCGGACATGCCAGGAGTATGATATGAAGCAAATTGAGCTAACTTATGCTTGCGGTCAAGGCAGACACAGCTGAAAGGAGGTCCGCAGAACCCAAGTTATCTTTCCTGCGTGCCAGGTGCTTTGCGTGCAGCTCCTCACCGTGCCCCATGCTTCGAAATTGATCTTTGCGTTGCAGAAGAATGAGCTCGGTGCTAAGATGTGCTAAGTCAAACTAGCCACAGCTTTCGAACGTGAAGTATGGTGAAGCTGAACCTTCCACAAAGGCTGCATCTCGCCAGCCTAAACCCTGGCCCGTGCAGTTGCAGCCTCGGGGCTCTGACCTTCCCCGTGCCCAGCCACGGGTGAGGCCGTCATGCATGCCTTTTTCAGAGCTGTAAGCATCGGCAGCAGAATAGATTCTCTTCTGTCCCAACATGAGCCAAGGATAGTCAGTATGATGTCGTCCAGTACCTACAGTCTGTTTTGCAACAACCGAGTTCTGCCCTCTGATGGGTAGCGCCTTGCGGCGCACATTGGGTGGTTGTGGCAGCCGTCGCCGAACTTCTGCTGCCGCCTCCGCAGCAGCTGCCAAAGCAGCCAATGCAGCCATCGCTGAGGGAAGAAGTGTCTACGAGGCAGATGATGGTGCATGGGTCCCTCAGGGTTTTGCTGCCAGATTTAGCAATGGACCCTATGGGACATCCTCATGGTGGCAGTTGTTGTTTTATTTGTTTGTTTGACGATGATTGTTAGTTTGGGTACCAGGCCAGCGTGGCAAGACGTTCAAGTTGGCTTGATCAGTTGTTCCGCCCAGGTTGCGCGAATCGCAGGGGAGGCAGCACAGAGTGTGGTCATCGCCGGCGGCTTTTGTAGCGAGCAGGCAGCATACCTATCGCAGACATGGGGAGGAAATTTAACTGGATGTTGAAGTTTCAGCAAAGCTCAAACGTCGGATGATTGCACGCCTGGTTTGGCGTTTGTCCGTTCTAGTACTTCCGAGAAACCTGGTGCTGCTTGTTGGTGGAGTGCCACACTGCACGGAGCCAGGATTGGCAGTGGCCACAGCCAGACATTCGCTTTATCAAGCCAGGTGGCGATTGCGGCCTTCCATGCAGCAGCAGAGGTCACCAAGGATGGCTAAAAGACTTGTTGGCAGTGCATATATTGAAAGGCTACAGTGTTGCTGCTCAAGCATTGCAACATGCCAGCTACGATTTTATGATGCTCCTTGGGGTGTAATAGACTGGAGCTTTATTGTTTGAATATCAATGATGTGTCGTTGAAGCTGGGCCTGATGCAGGACACGATCCTTAGCCATGCATTGCTGGGAGTTGCCAGCGAAGCCGCTGGCAAGGCCTGAGATTCAACAGACTGTTCGATTTGTATGTGACGCTATGATGGCGTTTGGTCTGCATGCGCTGCGATTGGAATGCTAAGAGCATGATGGATGCGCATGGCGTGTCCCTAGAGCCGCGTATTGTCCTTGGTGGTTGTGATGTAAAACCATATTGTTTTACTCATACTTGGTGGTTAACGCCAAAGACTTAAAGACAGTGTAAACGCAGGTCAGTCCAACTGATGCTCTGCCTGAGGCTGCCATGGCAGCCGGAGCCAGCAAGAAGGAGGCTGCAATGTACGCCGGCGAGGCCCTGGCCGTTGAGTCCGTCGTTGTACTTTGCACCGCTGAATTGTTTGCACTGCTTCCTGACGTCTCTACGCATGTATCATTTTGTTAGGAAAGCAACATGCTCGCTTCCATCACGTATTCATTCAGGCTGCAGCTTCGGATGCACCCAAGCTGCAGATAGAGCCTGTAGTTGCAATTCCTCACTCCTCGCAGCATACGTTGTGTGCAAGGCCAAGACAGTGACATGAGCATGCGCATTGCAGCGGCTGCTTGTGAAATTGCAAGGAATTGATCCACGCAGCCTGAGCCTAAACTAATTATTTGATTACACTTTCTCCTATGGGCATTGCGTTGCCTTGTGCTTCCATGCCGTGCATAACATACGGACATATATATATATATATATATATATTTATACACATAAATAGTAACATAATGTCCAAAACCTACTTAAACCAACACGTACATTTCGCGTGCTGAACAGTCCTATTTGTTATGCACATTCTGCGCAGCATTTTCCCTGGGACGATAAACCAACAAACCCAATAAAATGCCAACCCCAGCATGGCTGGAATGTGTTTTCCCATGGTCTGTTTGTTTCGACCAAGGGTTTCATGCATTTTTTGCAATCAGATGTGCAGCTGGCTTAGTCCCAAGGCAATTTTATCCGGCAGCCTTGCGTGCATTGCAGCCGAGCAAGCAGGTGGGAGTTTGCAGCATCAGCAATGTCAGTTGCCAAAGGCAGTGAGTGACCCGTGGTTTGGCGCTTCTGTCGCAGTTTGCCACATGCACAGTGTCCTTGTCAATGGCAGCGTTTTGTGCTTGCGAGCAAGCTTCTGCCTAAGGCGAGGCTGCAGCGCAGGCGGCGCTGGCTGTAGGGGCTGAGCAGTCCGAGGTGCGGGTAGAGAATGCTTCACGGAGTTCTGATTGAAATTGCTGCGTTCAGAGGCGCTTTTTTGCCCGATCTTGAAGCACAATTGAGCCAGCAACCCCCTCCCGCATATCGATACAGCATAAACCTTGGGCCCCCATAGGATACACTTATCAGTTATAAGATGTTATAAGCTTATCTTCCCAATTCTCTTTCCTTCAGTTTTCCATCTTTGAGGCCGCCGAGCTGGCCGCCTTAGTGGCTGGCACGGTCGCGCGGCGTGCTGCGCGAGCTGACGGTGCGTCTGAGGAGGACGCAGGTTGGCTCAACGGATCGGCAGGTTTTCGAGAATTCATTGGCCTCACGCCTGACGCAAATGGCATCGCCAGTGCCCGGTACATCGGGGATCAGCGCACAAAGTGCACCAGAGCATTTTACTGCTTGTGTTGGCCCTATTTTACACTGGGCAATGCCTTGGACAACTATGATGTTCAATTCCAACCTTGGACCACCTTGTATTTTTCAACTTTACACGGGACTGCAGTCTTGGAGTATCAGGACAACATAATCGAAGTCCTGGAACCTGAAAAGAGCTTGTCTTGCCTTTAGATGTCCCTTGTTTGCATTGCTCAACTACAAGGTTGTCTTCTTTTCAAATGTGTCGTGTGGCTCAGGTTTTTTGTGTCCCCCAATTTTACAGCTTAAGGGCTGTTAGGCTTATAGGTGGTTGGGTTTTTTGTGGGTGTTCGGGCTTCAAATTTACAACGTGTTGGGTTTGCAGTTTAGGATGTTCAATCTTCAAGGCTTAGGGTTTGTACGGGTAAAAGCAAACTGGACCTCGAGCTGTCAACGGTGGTTCTCGAGCGGGCCTGGGGAGTGCCGAATGTTTATTTTGGCTGCGCATGCTGCTTTTTTGATGAGCAATGCATGCGTCGTGGCCGTAGTACTGGTGTACACGCACAAGTAATTCCACCAAAACCGCCGCCGCCCCCGCCACCGCCACCGCCACCCCCACCACCACCACCACCACCACCACCACCACCACCACCACCAGCGGTACACCAGCACCTACACCAACACCGACGCCCCCACTTACTGCTGAAAGACGCCGGGTGACCTCAGCTTACCCAGCCACCCACCAACCAACGAACTAACGAACCAACCAACCAACGACAGACATGCCCCTTTTGGCGTGCTATAGGTGCTATAGTAGCAAGCCAACGATTGCAAACTGTCCTGCGCGCCTGCTCAGCAAGGCGCCGCACGGTGCAAACCATTCCCTCACTGGAGTCAATTTCAATCTGTGCATCAGCCTCGGCATGCCTGACTGGGCTTCAGCTAGTGACCTTGACGGCAAACACCTTTAACAGCATGGTAGAGCTCTCCCTCCGAACCCCCTTGTTGGTCCAAAGTCAAGTCGGGATTTGAAGCGTTCGGGAACTTCCAAGCACACACGCGCGAGCCAGCTGCGTTAGGCAGATTTGCCCCTGTTCTGAGTAACAAAAAGTGAAGTGCCACCAATACGGTTTCGCTTCTGGGCCGAGTGTTCATCGATGTGTCATGTCACTGTGTTTGTCGCTTTCGTAGTGGCTTGCACGGTCACAGGCGAGCTTTGTGCTGATGCGGCAAAGCGAGCAGCGGAGTATGCCAAGCACCTAACACCTGTCGCGGTGCCACAGCTGCATTTCAGCCGCCAAAGTGCTTGTGGAACTCTGGGCATCCAGAGGCGGCATAGTTATCAATTGCAACAGTCTTTGCATGCTTGGCGGATTCGCTGGTCCGAGCACTTGTCAGGGCCCTAAAGCCTGATGTTGTCCGTCGACACCAGCTTGTCCTAGTCCCATCAAGAGCCTGTTTGGCACAGTTCATGTCGGAATGGGCAAAGCCGCTTGAAGCCCCGTTCCCATTGTTGCGAGAACGCGCATGCGCTCTAGCCAGAGTGCAGGTGCGTGCGTGGGTGTATTTGTTAATGCTTGGGTGTGGGCGTGGGCGCGGGCGGGTGTGTGTGTGTGTGGAGTGTGTGTGTGTGTGTGTGTGTGAGTGTGTGTGTGTGAGTGTGTGTGTGTGTGTGAGTGCGTGTGTGAGTGTGTGTGTGTGTGAGTGCGTGTGTGTGTGTGTGTGTGTGTGAGTGTGTGTGTGTGAGTGAGTGTGTGTGTGTGAGAGTGTGTGTGTGTGTGTGAGTGTGTGTGTGTGTGAGTGCGTGTGTGTGTGTGTGTGTGAGTGTGTGTGTGTGTGTGTGTCTGTGTGTGTGTGTGTGTGTCTGTTTGTGTGTGTTGTGTGTTTTGTGTTTGTGTTTGGGGTGTGGAATTGGGGTTTGGGGTTTGGGGTTTGTGCTTGTGCTTGTGCTTGTGTGTTGTGTTTGTGTTTGTGTTTGTGATTGTGGTTGTGATTGTGTGTGTATGGCTAGTTTCTATTTATCTCTCTATATCTTTCTCTATCTCTTTCTCTATCTCTTTCTATTTATTTATCTATTTATCTATCTATCTATCTATCTATCTATCTATCTATCTATCCATCTATCCATCTATCCATCTATCTCTCCATCTATCTCCCGCGTATCTATCTATCTATCTATCTATCTATCTATCTATCCCGCGTATCTATCTATCCTTTGATGTTCACCGGGCAAAAAATGCGTGAGAAGCGAGCATGCCAGGTTGTTGTGAAGGCTGTGAGTTGCTTGTGCGTATCACATGTCATGACCCAACAAAATTGCAATTGTCCACACCGTTGCATGCCTTTGCGTGATGCCCCTCGGGCAATTAGTTCAAGCGATTTCTGTTTGAGGTACTGGTGACACCTGGAGCAGATCCAGAGCCACAGAGCCAGGAACCATCCCATCGCTCTGGCTCACAAACCACAGGTCCGGCGCCAAGATTTGCTGAAGTGTGCCAGTGCTGAAGTTTCATTGGCAAACTCTGACTCGAGGGCCGGCTCAGCACGGAGGTCCAGGCCGCGGTTTTCCTTGTCAGGTGGACCTGAATCGAATTTCGGAACCCACGCTCGGCCGAAGCCTTGATGACAATTAATTGTCAGAAAGCCCTTATCGGGGGACGCGTGACGGGGCTTGCATTTCAGGCAGTTTCAAGCAGCTTCAGGCAGTTTCAGTCAGAAGAAAACAATGAACATTAAAATCGTCCCAAGCCGCCAGGGAAAGACCCCGTTTGCGCGATCCCCCGTTGAGGCCGCCAAGATTTTAATGACTGCGTGAGCTTTTGATGCGCGCGATCAAAATTAAGGATTTGGACACGCATGATCGCATGGGTCTATCTCAACACGGGGACTCCATTGGACTGCTCTGAAGGTAATCCGAAAGGAAGCAGACGCCCCCCACTACACCACTCACTGCTTACTGGACTGCATGCCCACATCGCCCGCGCAGTTCCAGCCTTCTGGGCTCCAGTTCCCTGGCGCCATGGCCGGGACCTTGCCACAGCCTTCCTATCAGTGCCTCCCGGCGTTTCGTATGCTATGCCATGATGTTTTGCTATAAACATCTATAAACATGGCATTTGCGGACCCACAGCGTAGTGTGTAGATCCGACAGTCTCAGAGCAGACCTCAATATCTTTTAGCACTGTTCAGATCCACCCTCGGATGGGTGGTTGTAGCAGCCGTCGACGAGCCACTGCTGCTGCCAAAGCAAGCGCGTCCACAGCGGCCAATGCAGCCATTGCTGAGGGCAAGTCTGCCTATCAGGCAGCTGGAACGAGCTGTCTCCATTTCTTTGCAAGCTGCAGTGTGCTGATATGTGCATTCAACATTTCTCAGTCCCAATCAGCCATTGCTGCCGAACCACTAGGTGTGCACCAGGTAGTTCATGCCAGGCAAGTCTTGGAGAGGCTAAAACTAATTCACATTTGCCACGCAGGTTGCAAGCATTGCGGGCGAGGCGGCACAAAAAGTGGTTATCGCCGCTGGCTTTTGCAGCCAGCAGGCGGGTATCACAGATCGGGCAGCCTGCAAGCACACAAGGAAGACAGATGTGAGAAGTGACGAGGGTAATGTCAGGGAACAAATAACAGTAATTACCCCCACCCCCAGATTAAAGGTTTCCTCTTTTCCCCCCAGGTTCCCACGAATACTAAACCAACAAGGTTTCCTTTAAAAAATCCTCCATGTTTGGGCCCTCCCAAGCACCCCTCCCTAATGAAAGGTTCCCCGCTGCCACCCCCCTTGCCAAAGCAAACAGGCCCCTTTAAACAGCTCCAGCAAACTCACCCCCAACCATTCCTGGTTTCCACAAAAAACTGGGCCAACAACCAAGCCAAAGATTTCTTTACATATCCAAAGTCCCTCAAATCCATGACAATCCTCAAGCCTCAAGTCCCTTCATCCAGACCTCAAGTTCTTAGGAGGGGGTATCTCCAGGCAGCCCCAAATTTCTGCTCCTCCCAAACCTTGTCAACCTTGAAGGGGGGGGGGGGGCGGGGGTTTGAACTCGCAACAAGATATTGCAGAAATTGTTTGAACCCTGAGCTCATCTATTCTCGAGCCAGGTGGCCAAGGTGGTCTTCCAAGCGGCGGCAGACGCCACCAAGGACTGCCGAGCGCACAGGCACCGAGCACAATCTTCCCGTGAAGGCTGTGTCAACCCCCAGGATCACGCATGAAGCCAGAAGTGACATGTGGGGTTGTCCACAGCATCTTCAGAATTGCAGCCTTGCTGTTTTGTTTCTGTCCATTAATTGACCGGAGGACACGGTTCTAAGCCATGCGCGGCTGGGAGTTGCCAGCGAAGCCGCTGGCAAGGCTGACCGGAATTCGGATGTGTGTGTGTGTTGTGAGTGCTGCAAACTGCATTCGCAATGCGAAACATACAGAGAAGAAGAATAATAATGAATAAAGGAAGAAGCAGATGTGACATGTGTGTGCCGCCCGCTCGTCTTGTCCCACCCCTGTGTCTCCTCTGACACAAAGTCATGCTTTGACCCCAACCCGATCCTGAAAGGCTATGCGGCTATGCGTCATTGGGGTCAAACAAGCTTTCGTAGAAAGGCCGAGTTTCAGCCAAGACTTCTTAAGTCACTTGGCAAACACTACGACTGTATGCGTCTCACCGTAACGTGACCCACAAGCAGGTTGCGGTTTGGATGGCGCAGCTTCATTTGTCGCAAAGCTCAAGAGGCAATGAAAGCAGCTGCTTGCTGCTACGCCGGCTGTCAGGCGGCCATTGCTGCCGGAGCCACCAAGAAGGATGCAGCAATGCATGCTGGCGAGGCCCCGGCCCGTCGGTTTTTGAGTTCCCCACACAAGTGCGTTGGGCAACTTTAGCAACACGATCCCCCTACCCCCCGGAAGGTTTATTATTTCGGTCCCCCGGCTTTTGGCCAGAACTGGTTCACACTGCTTTGTTCAAGTATTAGGTTCAAATTGGAAAGCGAGACCCCTTTGATTTGAATGCAACTTTGAGTAGTAGCTGCAAAGGAAAAGCAATACTGATAAAAGCCGCTTACGCAAAGCACACCATTTGTTTGAAAGAAAAATGGTCAGAGTTCAACTTTTCAGTAAGACCTTATGAAGGGAACCCAATAATAGAAACCGCAAGGCAGCCTTGTTGATCATTTCTAGGGTGGCCCCTAAAAAGCACATCCGAGGAGCTTGGCTGTCTGGAAAAATAGTATTGATTTAGTATGTAATATATAGAATTAGTAGTGGCAAATGATTGGGTCGGATGGAGCCCTGTTTGTTGCCTTGACCACCACAACCTTCAACCGCATTGTCAGAATCCTCACCAGAACCGTCACAATTTTCATCGTCCTTATCGACACTGCCGGCCCTGTGCTGGCTGGAGCAGCAGCAAGAGAAACAGCAACAGCGCCAGCAACGGCAACGGCAACAGCACAGCAACGGTAGCAGCCGCGGCAGCAGCAGTAGCTCTACCCGGAGAATAGATGGCTCAAAAAAATGGTCTGTGCCATCTACTTTTCTTCAACTTAGATAATTTACACTCCGCGCGCCGGCGCCAGATAATTGGGGGTCAACCGGGATGCAAAATAGATGGCACAATTTTTTAGCCCCCTAAGAATAATTTATGGCACAATTCAGTGCGTCCACTCACGCTCGCTCACTGGCTCACTCACTGGCTCACTCACTCGCTCGCTCGCTCACTCACTCACTCACTCACTCACTCATTCACTCATTGACTCAACCCACCCACTCACTCACTCACTCACTCACTCACTCACTCACTCACTGACTCACTCACTGACTCACTCACTGACTCACTCACTCACTGACTCACTCACTGACTCACTCACTGACTCACTCACTGACTCACTGACTCACTGACTCACTGACTCACTGACTCACGGACTCACTGACTCACTGACTCACTGACTCACTCACTCACTCACTCACTCACTCACTCGCTCGCCAAAGGCTGCCGCTCTTTGCGTATGTTACGATGGGGCCAAGTCACGGTTTGGGCTGATGGGAATGGTTGCATTTAGAGTTGTGCCATCTACTTTTTGCGGCAGTGCCTCCACAAGGCAGCGCCTCACAAGGCAGCCTGCCAGGTAGCGGAGTTGATTTGAGGAAGTCCAGCCTTTGAGGAAGTCCCGCCAGCTGATGCGGGTTCCTTCCATGTCTTTCGAAGCCTGGGCTGCCGCAAGTGCATGCCCGGAATTGTGCCATCTACTTTCTTCGTTTGTGGGAGGGGCAGTGCCTCCACAAGGCAGCCCCCAGGCAGCGGGGAAGTCCAGCCCACAAGTACCAGCCAGGTACCAGACCAGCCAGGTAGGGAGAGTGCCTCCACAAGGCAGCCCAACCAGCGAAGAAGTTCCGGCCCAAGTAGTGGTCCGATTTTGTGGCAAGGCAGTCTTGCAGGGAGTTGAGGCAGTCCTTTGATTTGAGGGAGTCCAAGCCGAGATCTGTCTCCACAAGGCAGGCCCCAGGCAGCGCACACAAGTTCCAGCCAGGTAAGTACGAGATTAATCCAGACAGGGCGAAGTCCAACCAGGCAAGCAGAGGGCTGATTGGCAAGGCAGCCTTGCAGGGAGTTGAGGAAGTGCAGCCTGTGAGGAAGTCCAAGCCGAGATCGAAGCCTGGGCTGCTTCGCAAGCTCATGCAGGACATTGTGCCATCTACTTTGGGAGGGGCAGTGCCTCCAGTCCAGCCACACAAGTTCCAGCCAGGCAAGTACGAGGGGGAAGTCCATCCAAGATTGAAGCCTGGGCTGCTTCGCAAGCTCATGCATGGAATTGCGCCGTCTACTTTGCTTTGTTTGTGGGAGGCAGTGCCTCCTCAAGGCAGCCCCCGGGCAGCGGGAAGTCGAGCCACACAAGTTCCAGACAGGTAAGTAGGATATTTTCCAAGGGGAAGTCCAACCAGGCAGGGAGTAAGGAAGTGCAGCCGGCTGATTTGGCAAGGCAGCCTTGCAGGGAGTTATGGCGCCATCTATTGTGGGAGGGGCACAAGGCAGCCCTCCGGGCAGCGGGGAAGTCCAACTAGACAGGTAAGTACGAGATTTTTCCAGGCAGGGGGAAGCCCAACCAGGCAAGCAGAGGGCTGGTTTGGCAAGGCAGGAGTTATGAAGTACAGCGCTTCACAAACGTCATGGAATTGTGCCAGCTACTTTGCTTTGCTTGTGGGGCCCCATTCTGCAGCGGGGAAGTCCAACCACACGTTGCGGCCAGGTAAGTACGAGATTTTTCCAGGAGGGGGAAGCCCAACCAGGCAAGCAGAGGGCTGATTTGGCAAGGCAGCCTTGCAGGGAGTTTTTGGAAGTGCAGCCTTTAAGGAAGTCCAAGCCGAGATAAGTCCAACCACACAAGCTGCAGCCAGGTAAGTGCGAGATTTTCCTTGGTTTGTGGAAGGGGCAGCGCCTCCACACAAGTTGCAAGCAGAGGGCTTAGCCGAGATTAAAGCCTGGGCTGCTTCGCAAGCCCATGCATGGAATTGTGCCATCTACTTTGCTTCGTTTGCGGGAGGGGGCGCCTCCACAAGGCAGCCCCGGGCAGCGGGGAAGTCCAACCACACAAGTTGCAGGAGCCTTGCAGTACAGCGTTTGAGGAAGTCCAAGCCGAGATCAAAGCCTGGGCTGCTTCGCAAGCCTGGAATTGTGTTCGTTTGTGGGAGGGCAGTGCCTCCACAAGGCAGCCTCCCGCAGCGGGGAAGTCAAGCCACACAAGTTGCAGCGAGGTAAGTACAAGATGTTTCCACAGCAGAGGGCTGATTTGGCAAGGCAGCCTTGCAGGGACTACCAAGATCGACAAAGCCTGGGCTGCTTGGCAAGCCCACGCATGGAATTGTGCCATCTACTTTGCTTCGTTTGTGGGAAGTCCTCCACAAGGCAGCCCCCCGGGCAGCGGCGAAGTCCAGCCACACAAGCTGCAGCCAGGTAGGTACGAGATTTTTCCATGCAGGGGGAAGCCGCAGCTGATTTGGCAAGGCAGCCTTGCAGGGAGTTATGGAAGTACAGCCTTTGAGGAAGTCCAAGCCGAGATCGAAGCCTGGGCTGCTTGGCAAGCCCACGCGTGGAATTGTGCCATCTACTTTGCTTCGTTTGTGGGAGGGCAGTGCCTCCACAAGGCAGCCGCCCCGGGCAGCGGGGAAGTCTAAGTACGATAATTTTCCAGGCAGGGGGAAGCCCAACCAGGCAAGCACAGGGATGATTTGGCAAGGCAGCCTTGCAGGCAGTTATGGAAGTACAGCCTTTGAAGAAGTCCAAGCCGAGATCGAAGCCTGGCTGCTTCGCCGGCCCACGTGTGGAATTCTGCCATCTACTTTGCTTTGTTTGTGGGAGCCACACAAGCTGCAGCCAGGTAAGTACCTTATTTGGCAGCCTTGCAGGGAGTTATGCCTTTGAGGAAGTGGAGTGGGAAGTCCAGCCACACAAGCTGCACGCTGGGCTGCTTGGCAAGCCCACACGTGGTCTACTTTGCTTCGTTTGTGGGAGGGCCTCCACAAGGCAGCCCCCCAGGCAGCGGGGAAGTCCAGCCACACAAGCTGCAACCAAGTAAGTACGAGGTTTTTCCAGGCAGGGGGAAGTGCTGATTTTGGCAAGGTACTTGCAGGGTATGGAATTACAGCCTCTGAGGAAGTCCAAGCCAAGATCGAAGCCTGGGCTGCTTGGTAAGCCACGCGTTGGGCTTCGTTTGTGGGAGGGCAGTGCCTCCACAAGGCAGCCCCCCCGGGCAGCGGGGAAGTCCAGCCAGACAAGCTGCAACCAGGTAAGTGCGAGATTTTTCAAGGCAAGCCCAACCAGGCAGAGGGCTGATTTGGCAAGTTGCAAGGAGTTATGGAAGTACAGCCTTTGAGAAAGTCCAAGCCGAGATGGAAGCCAAGTGCATCTACTTTGCTTCGCTTGTGCAGCGGGGAAGCTCAGCCACACAACAGGTAAGTACGAGATTTTCCAGGCAGGGGGAAGCCTAACCAGGCAAACAGAGGGCTGAGAGTTCTGGAAGTACAGCCTTGGACGAAGTCCAAGCCGAGACCGAAGGCTGGGCTGCTTGGCAAGCCCACGCGTGGAATTGTGCCATCTACTTTGCTTCGTTTGTGGGAGGGCCTCCACGGCAGTGGGGAAGTCCAGCCACACAAGCTGCAGCCAGGTAAGTACGAGATTTTTCCAGGCAAGGCAGCCTTGCAGGGAGTTATGGAAGCACAGCCAAACGCGTGGAATTGTGCCATCTACTTTGCTTCGTTTGTGGGAGGGCAGTGGGGACGTCCAGCCACACAAGCTGCAGCCAGGTACGTACAAGTTTTTCCAGGCAGCGCGAAGCCCAACCAGGCAAGCAGAGGGCTGATTTGGCAAGGAAGCCTTGCAGGGAGTTATGGAAGTATAGCTGCCAAGATCAAAGCCTAAGCCCACGTGTGGATGCTTCGTTTGTGGGAGGGCCTCCACAAGGCAGCCCCCGGGCAGCGGGGAAGTCCAGCCACACAAGCTGCCAGCCAGGTAAGCGCGGGATTTTTCCAGGAAGGGGAACCCCAACCAGGCAAGCAGAGTGATTTGGCAAGGCAGTTATGGATACAGCTTTCGAGGAAGTCCAAGCCAAGATCAAACCCTGGTCTGCTTGGCAAGCCCACACGTGGAATTGTGCCATCTACTTTGCTTCGTTTGTGGGAGGGGCTCCACAAGGCAGCCCCCCGGGCAGCCACCCCGAAAAGCAATGCTCAACATGAATGCCATTCACGTTGAACACACCGGAGCGAAGTCGGAGTTCCGACCTTGGGCAAAAACGTGTTCTTTTGTGCTTTTTCCTGGTGCGGGATATATGCGG